GGCACAGAAGTCCAGGGACAAGGACTAGAAGGCAGAAGGGGACAGGAAAGCTGGTGATAGGGAACCCAAGGTTGAGTAAGGACAGTGTTGACATGTAGTGGGGTTGTTAACCATTGTCATAGGGCAATACGTATACTAACTTTTTAATGAGAAACTATTTTGTTCTGTAAATCTTCATCTAAAGTGAGAATAGCCACACAAATGGAAGAACGTAATCGATGTCACTGAATTGTACATGTAGAAATTTATGAAATGGTGTATCTTTGGCTATGTACAGTTCCACCAAAAAAGAAAAAAAAAAGGTCCTACAAGGTCAAGAAGGGAAAGCGTTGACATGTTGTGGGGTTGTTAACTAATGTCATAAAACAACATGTGCACTGACTGTTCAATGAGAAACTATTTGTTCTGTAAACCTTCACCTAAAGTACAATAAAAAAATTTATACACAAATTGTTTTGTGAAATTGGTTGCACTCCCCACAATGTGTCATGATAATTCTTAAATTGTAAGTACATGAAATGTTTATTTTAAATTCTAATAAACACTTTCCCAAAACCAGAATGTAATTGTTTTGATATATTTCTTATTTTTCATCTTGATTTTTTTTAAGCCCTCAAAGTTCACTTTTAGTAACATCAAAAATAGCAATTGTAATTTCTTTAAAAAAATAAGATAATATGTTTCTATTAGGATATCGGTTTAAAATTTTAGTTTACACATTCTTTTATAAACAATTACATGTCACTTTGGAGTCATTCATTTCTTCCGTGCCTCCTCCATAAAGACTAATAAGTCTTGGATGCAATCTGTAAAGAAAATAATATATGTATAATTTATTATTTCATCAACCTGTCATTCTACTCTTTTTCACACATACATGTATACACAGATACAACTAATAATGAGTGTGGCACATAATACCAAGTATAAATCTAATGAGAACCAAAAAAAAAAAAACCACACTCATGCCTTCTAGAGCTGCAATCTAGAAAAACAGAGCAGCCTGATAAATCTACACTAATAATTACTGTAAAGCATTCTCCACCAACTTCCTAACTGATGCTCTCATTTGCTCTGCGTAACACAATCACCTGTGTCTACTGAATGTCCCATCTGGTGGGCTACCCCTGGTGCCCCTGCACTCTTCTTGTTCCCATTGAGTCATAATGCTTACCAAAAATGAGTTTGCATGTTCCTAAACCTGCTTATGCCAGTTGTTCTTGTTACTTAATTAAATAGCACACAAAGTTTTTCTCATGTAAACTAAGTTGAATGCTTTGGAAAGACTTGATAAAAGCAAGTGACTGAACACAAAGTGTTATAGTATTAGCTGTGGGTGAGATGAAACTGTAAAAGACTGCGGGTGGGGGGCTAACTGTAACCATCTAGAAGGATTCAGGACTCCGATAGCTTTACGAGGTTTAAGATCTTGATCTATTTTTAAAAATCCGATGTTGAAATTATAGGCATGCGTTATCTGTACAGCGTATGAAGATAATTAAGAGCGCCAGAGACTCATAACCAAAGAAAAGGTCTTGACTCTATATAACAATTGGTGAATAAATGTAAAGTTAAGCTTTTTTATTTATTCAAAGTTATGCGTGCATCTTTTTATGCTTCCCTGATTCACTGACTTTTAAGAAAAATTATTATCCAACCAACTGCCTTGATAATGTAAGCAAAGAAGTCTTTTGTTTTACTATTAGTTTTGAGTCTACTGATGAACATAAAAGTTGGTGAAATAAGTAGACTTACCTAACATGGACGTCTGATGCTACTTCCATTAAATCACCATCTACATTCCAAGGAAAACTGTTGTCTAGAGCAATTTCATAAGGCTCATTTTTCTCTTCCGGATTGTGTCCACTCGTATTATTCTTTCGCTGAACTTTCACTTCTTCAACCGTGTAAGTCTCAACAAATGGAAAACTGAACTAAAGAAAACAAATGCAAATAATTACAGTACTTGGTTTATCCCTAACTGCTAATACAAATCAAAAGAGTTGACTCTGTCCTCTCCTGCAAGTAAATATGACCATGCATACTGACATATTCTTATAGCTTTGAAACTCTAATTATGACCGGGGATCCCAGCTTTAGGAAGAAGGAGCCTCTTTTCTGCAGCCTTCCTGGCTCAGTTAGAGTTAACAGCTGACAATCTTGCTTTAGGACAAATAGTGTATGTTTATGAAAAATTGCATAATCATTGTAGATCTTTCAATTAAAGACTGAATCTTTAATGTTCATCTATTGATACAGAAGATTTATATAATCCACTGACTAAATTATTAATTTGTCAGTTAGCTTAGCTGAAGAAAAGCAAAACTCTACCATGTCTCACACTTGGAATTTAATTGGGAAAAACCTACGTCTAATGAAGGTGAAATGGAAAGTGTATTTTTTCTTGAAATAAAGGAGAAAATCAGTCAAATGTGATTTTCACAGGTGTTTGCCTCCTTCATCCTCACTTTAAGGATGAATACAGGTTACAAGATAATTGTGTTTGCGGCCTCCACCAGACTGAGTTCAGTACAACTAGATGGTGCCTGGCTACCACCACTGACTGCTCTGACAGGGATGACAACAGAGGGTCCCGGACAGAGCTGGAGAAAAATGTAGAACAAAATTCTAACTCACAAAAAAAGACCAGACTTACTGGCCTGACAGAAACTAGACAAACCCTGAGAGTATGGCCCCCAGACACCCTTTCCGCTCAGTAATGAAGTCACTCCCAAGGTTTACCCTTCAGCCAAAGATTAGACAGTCCCATAAAACAAAATGAGACTAATGGGGCACAACAGCCCAGGGACAAGGACTAGAAGGCAGGAGGGGACAGGAAACCCGGTAATAGGGAACCCAAGGTCAAGAAGAGAAGAGTGTTGACATGTCATGGGCTTGTTAACCATTGTCATAAAACAATATGAGCACTAACTGTTTAATGAGAAACTATTTGTTCTGTAAACCTCTATCTAAAGTACAATAATAATAAAAAAAAAGATAATTGTGTTTGTTTACTGACCTCTTCAGAATGGTACAACCTTCAAATTTCTTTTTGTTTTTGTTTGCCTAAGAAAACTATAGTGAAAAATACTATGTATTTTCTGAAACTAAGAAAGGAAAGCCAAATAACTTTTTAGTGGAAGTGCAAAATAAGCACTCATTTATTTTCATTTTCAGATAAATGGCATGAGATTTATTCCTAATTAAATACATTATCTACATGTGTTTGTTTTCTTCTTCCACATATAAATCTCAATTAAGTATAAAACTTTAAAAACTGACAGAAAATTAATATTTTTCCCAACACCCTTATTTTACATATGTAGAACCAAGGTCCAGCAGATTCTTTAGTTTATATTCTGTAATAAATTGGGTTACGCATGGATTATACTGAGATTACACAGTAGCACAGCAAAGACCAGAACTCTCCTCCCTGACTCTACCCGCACAGCTCTTTTCATTAGAACGGAAGTATGCAAACTGTACTTTAGCTGCAGGATCTCTTGTTCAAATGACATCTCAAGTGAATTCCCATTACCTTTAACACATAAAAGTGGGGCTGTTCTGATTGAGGTACAGAGTTAGAGACTCCCAATGGGCTCTCTGGGGAAGCAGCCTGTGTCTCTGTGAAATTGCTTGAGCAGTCAGTCACTGCAGACACCTCCCTCTCAAGTACAAGGTCTTGGGTACATTCCTCACACTGTGTGCTTGTAAAATTTTCTACATAGTCATTCATCTTAAAGATGGTGTGTTTTAAAGGAGCCATTGATAACCAGTCTCCTTTCTTTTTTCGGGGGGTGGGGTGGGGTGGGGAGGGGCTTCTATCTTAATTATTAGCATCTAATCATATTTCTAATTCGATTGTAGATCTTGCTCAGAGAAGTATTACATTATATATAAAATTGCATAGGGATTTCAGAGCACATTTATAAATTGAGAGTACTTTTTCTCATTTATTTGACGTGCTACTTTCAGGGTGCATGTGTGACTGATATGTGTATGACTTTTAAAAAAGTGATGAGGCTGAGAAGTTTCTATGTCGCCAAACTCCCACTTTTTTTACTGCTTTGTTGAGTTCAATATGTTTTGTTTTTTAAGCAAAATTAGAACTGGCAATATTATGAAAGTAATACATGTTTGAGGCCGTATCTTTTCTTCAGACTTCTTAAGCATCTGGTAGAAAAACCACCACAGAACTGAAGAGTTTGAATAACTGAAGTCTTTATCCAAAGTACCAAAATCTTAGATGAGGGGGAAAAAAAACCTTTTGGTTTCCCCACAGCAGCAGCTGAAGAACATTAGCCTCTCTCACTCTCTCTATATATGCATGTGTATTTTTTTTCTGCATCAACTATATGGAACTATCTTACATCATTTAATAGCATCCTGTGAACATGTTTACTCAGAATACTATAAGATTCTATACTATAATCCATTCTTACTTATTCTTGAGATAGTTTTGTAAGTATACTATCTTAAATCATCAGTTGTCATGTATATACTTCACAAAATGAAGGTTCATTGGTCCACGCACATTTATTGTTAAGTCACAGACTTTGCTAGATGGAATTCTAGAGAGTCAACAGTTTAGTATCATGTGTGAGTGTATGTTTGGGGCAAGGGGAAGCGAAGTTACAATTGTGATACACAGAAGTGCCATGATGGTGTGGGCACAGAGCACAATGAGAGAAAAGAGAAGAAGCAAGCAGGCAAACAGAGGAAATATGGGAGCCTTGTAATGACTAACCTATATAAGTAAGATTCAGCAACTAGGCACCGGCAGAATTTATTCTCCCCTTCGCCCAATTATTCTCTCCAACCTGTGCCCAAGCACAATTTTATAGCTTTAAGAATGTGTGTGACCATAAGGATTTATGACCATCCCCATGTACTTCAAGACTCACAATTTCAAAAATTCACATTTCTCCAGGATCAGTTTCCTAGTAACTAGGTTAAAATGTCTGTCAAAAAATATGACATGTACTAGTTACTATTTCTTCTTCAAGCAAATCACTTAAATGGAAATATATGTCCACAAACACCACCACACATTCTACTTTTGAATAAAATAATGTTTGTATAAAGGTGGTATTTTTTTAAATATGCAGCTGCACGTTTATTTCAACGAACATTGGCAGATTGTCAAACAAATATTAAGAAAATCTAAAGGTTATAACTCTAGAGAAAGCCTGCTACTATAAAATCAAGAAGACTAAAAATCTCAGACTTCATTGCTTTGCATTCTGAAGAACAGCCTGAGTATATAATTGTATCCTTAACTTACTGAACATTTCAATATAACATTGTATTTTTTATTTTCTTTTTGTGCACAAAAATATGTATAAAACCACAAAACCATGGCTCAAAAAAGGCCAATCTATATTAATACTGGTGAATATTTTTCAAAATTTGGGTAAAACACAGTTTGGAAAAAACAAAAAAAGACTAATGTATTCAGAAGAAAATGAAGTCTTCTTAAGCGGAAGGACTTGATGTCAACTCTTGCAGCATATCTCCCTCCATGATTAATAGCTTGGCACATCGTACCAAAAAGAAGTTACTATACCTGATTTTTTACACTGGCATATCTTTTCAGGTGTTTTATAAATTCTGGTCGAGAAGTGTTTCGTACAATTATAAGGGCCATACTTCCATTATTTAATCTGAAATCAAATATTTATATGTGACATTAAGAAGTTGATTAATAGACTGCATAAGAAACAACTATATCATTCTTTAAAACAAATTCAATGTTTGCTAGAAGTTTGGGGCAAGATAGATAAATCATCATGCATTAAATTTACCTAAAATTCTTAAACCCTATCTTGCTGGCTTATTTTATAAATGATACAGCCTTTTCAATCTGTTTTATTAAACAATTAGCTTCCTCTTTAACAAGCTCTTACATTAAGGGGCTGTTTAAAAAAGGAACTTTCTTGCATCCTACTCACATATCAACACAAAATTTAAAATCCATTGTAATTATTTAGGAATTCTAAATGTATATTTTAAAGTATGTATTATAAAATAGTTAATACATACAAATGGTATAAAGGATAATACAACTCTTTCTAAAATCTAAAATGTGATTTAAATATTATTTTTGGGCACAGGTCTAAGTAACATTAGAAACTAAGTAAATCAAAGTGGTCCTTGGATGGATGAAATTAAGTGAACAAATGCTGCCACAACATGTTTAGTTAAATGACAGAGCATTTTAATCTTGTACAACTGTTCTGTCCAATATAAGAGACTACAAAGTCAGAGGTGTAATTTAGCACCAAAAGAGCCACTCAAAAATGCTTCTAGCTTTAGAAGGCAGTTTTCAGAAATACATGCAAATGATCTCTAGAGGTATTTCAGTGCAAATATAAAGTTGTTCCAAGAATAACAACAATGACATTATAAAAGAGCTCTTTAAATCTTAGAGAAGCTCAGGTTAGAACTGTAAGGGACCCTAGAAACTATCTAGTCATATACTTGTTTTATGTAGAAGAAAAAGAAAACCCAGAGTTTAAGTGATGTGTTCAAGGGCACACAGAGAAAACAAAGTGATCGCTGGAACCAGAGCTCTTAATTCGCAGGGGCCAGTGCTCCAATTATCCATCATGCCACCTCTTCCCAATCTAAAATAAATAGCACCAAAGCATTCAGAGTAGCGTTATCATGTGTTCTTTATTGTTTTAAATGGCTTAATTTTGATTCATAAACATGAAAAACAATTCATATGTTTATCTTTCAATACTTATTAATAACAGAAACACACCCAATGTGCCTGGCAGCCTAAATGCTTTACTTATATTATTAACTCATTTAATCTTAGAATACTTAGAATATAAGAATATAGATATTAGCTCCTATCATCAGTTTGCACCGAGGTATTTTAAAGTAAATTGTACTTTACTGTGAATACAAAAAGCTGTAAGTTAAATCTCCTGTGCAATTATGCTGAATCATTCAGAAGCTACATCTCTGAAAGTCTCTGGTCAACCGAGGCCCAGTCTAAAGCCATTTGCAAAATATGGTCACGTTTGGTTATGATCCACAGAAGAAATCCATAACTAGTCATCATTCAAGGAGCCCTGGTGGTGCTGTGTTTAAGTACTCAGCTGCCAAATGAAAGATCAGCAGTTCGAAGCAAGGCTTTGAACTAGTTCTGCCCGATTCGGTCATGGACGATGAAGCGAAACCCAAATAGACTCAAATTTTTTAAATGTGAGTGAACTGGAACGTTATCCAGAACGGGAAAAATTACAGGTCTAAGCTCTGCTAGAAACTTAATTTCTCTATTAGAAAACAAGGGCAGCATGCGTGTTGCATAGCAACCAAATCTCTTGACCAGGAGAGTAGGAAATAGTAGTGCCCTGCTCAAAGATGGCGACTGACCACAGTCCTGGCAATAATACCGTCGCCTGCAACAGGCTTCTGAAAGGGTTCACTAGAACTCTTCTGAGTCTCCCATTCCAGGCCTTTGAACTGTAATTCTTCCCATTCTGGTTATTGTTCCGCTTCACCCAAACTTTAAAAATTCAGGTCTGTTCCAATTTTGCTTCATCAGTCATGACTGAACCATTTTGAACCAGTTTGAATCCCTGGTTTAAACCCACCAGCCACTCCATGGGATAAAGATGTGGCAGTCTGTTTCTATAAAGACTACAGCCTTGGAAACCCTATGGGGCAGTTCTACTGTGTCCTGTAGGGTCGCTATGAGTTGGAATCGACTTGACAGCAATGGGTTTGGTGCAATTGGTTTAGTCATCATTCTCTGAAAAATTCATCAATACTCATTAAACCTGGAGAGTTAGCAGTTGAATTCCAGCCAAGATGAAAATTTATGGGGTACAAAAATTGAAGGAGGTACAAATCAGCTGCTCCAATAAATGCAGGACTCCCTTCCATGAAGCACCAGAGTCCGAGATGCAGCAGGGTTAGATAAGCATTGCCTCAAGTTATGTAGAATGTAGTCCCTTCAGTCAGCTAGCCAGATTTTTAAGAGGTTTCTTTTTTGTGGGGTGAGAAATACATTAGGGAAGCACACCTCTGCCTAGGATTTTTGAGGATGTGGTAAGAAACAATTAGGCTCAATTTCTATGTCACACAAGCTTCAAGATAACTCGTTTCGAGTTTCAGCACTAGGGGTAATTAATGAAGACCTTGACATCGAATTTTTCATATCAAAGTCTGTAATTTCTCTTTTTCTTCCTTAACTTTTGCTATTTCCATGTTTATTATCTCCATATAAATTGCCAAAGAAGAAATCTAAAAGCAAGTCCTTTTGCTAGCTGTTAATCATTCTGGTTAATAATTTAACATATTCTGGTCATCATAATATTTAACATATTCTGGTTAAATATTTTGCGGGGAAGTTGAAATTAATTGTTAAAATGAGATTATAAATTGCCAAAGTACATAAGTCATCCTTATATTTCACTTGCAGAGAAGATCTAGAATTGACTGCATTATACAATATTCATGCTCCTTTGTTCTAGGCTCTACAAGATGGGATTTTAGAGAGAGGCCAATAATGGACAGCTGTTTAAAAACAATGTGTAAAAGGGGGAATATCTATGTCCTATTTGTAAAATAATATATAAAATATCTATGATTCATTCAATTGCAAATGTGGACAGTAGATTTGTATGTATCACTATTTACATTAAATATAACTGAAATATTTTCTTTGACTAAAGGTATCAAATATACACAGATACATGCTTTTTATGCTAAGGACATTCATGCTTGCACTGAAATTGGAAAATAGACATTCATAAGAAACACCAGAGTTTAATATAATGTCCCAACAACTGGTAAATTTAAGATAATTAATAATTTATAAATAAATAAAGCAAACAAGTAAAATAGGCATAAATAACATAACATTATATCAATAAAACCCAATGTATATTATGTTAATCTCAGTGATAGTAATAAATAAATCAGATCAATTTTCCAGGTTAACAGTTGTTCTCAACCTACTCTGATGACAAATCCCTTAGAATCTCTAATATTAAATAGTTAAAGAGCCTACTTCTTGATAAGATTCTAGGTATCCGAGAGTTAGGTGTATTGTGGGAAAAAATCTCTAGGGTTTTATAAGAAAACTATCAATGATTCAATAAAAACGCTTACTAACCTGGTATTAGGTGCCAAGCCTCTCGGTGCCACTGAACACAGGCAAGGAATCGCCATAATGCTGACATTCAAGAACTGACCCTGGATCATTTGCCATTGGTCACTACAGTCTAAAGGTAATGGAAGTGATTTGTTACTTTCCCTCACCAAAGCAAACATCAACAGAGACTGGCTGAGTTCTCAAGGAGATAATTTTGAACTCACCAGATTTGGGAGATCCCTGTGCCTTTCTAAAAACAAAAAACAAAGAAACAAAAACACGTCACACACACACACACACAAAAAAAAATAACAGCATCCATTAAATATGAGAAAATTAAAGAGCCCAGAAGTACATGTATGAAATATTTTCTTAGATTAATTAAATTAGACACTAAGTGAAAATATGTAAACAGTTCCATTGTTGCCAATAATGTAATGTGTTGATTCATTGGAAGTATTACAAAGGGCAATGCTTTTCAATTTCTTTAAAGACTAGAGCCCTTCTTTCAATGAAATGTTATTCAGTTAACATCTACTGTTCTTTCAGATTCCAGCTTGTCAATTCCTCTGGGAAGACTTCCCACAACTCTGATGAGAACAAATCCCTCTGTAAAGGCTTTCTCAGTAGCACATGCTTCTCCACATTCCACCACAATTATAATTTTGTGTGGTTTTGACTAATATTTGTATCCGCACTAGATAAATTCCCATGAGGGCAAAAACTGTGGATATTGTTTATTTGTTTTTTGGCTCATTGTTGTATCCAAAGTTCCTGGCACATACTGCACAATCAATAAACAGTTGTTGAATGAATGAATGAGTAAATGGTTATTTCTGAAGACAGAAGCCAAACTAAATAGCTTACCAGAACTTGTGGGACTCCATAATTCTATATTCTTCATTAGTGTGTTAGAAAATAATCAAAGATCCTAAAGCACAAGTCTGATAAATTATTTACGTCAAAATGTTTTATGCTTTAAAGAAAGATACTTAGCAATGTCTACATGTAGTTTTTCACTTACCTTTCTTGTAAATCCTGGGAGCTTTTAAATGGTAAAAATGATATTTCACAGTCCTCTGGCCTAGAATTAATGAAATATGTTATTAACCATCACTGACTCTGGGATATGGAATATTTGAGATTTAAAAATATATACTTACTTAAGTTTTGCCAGTGCCTTAATTACAGCAAAATCTCTCCGTTGGTTAGGGGACATCCACCGATGTTTTTCCGCCAGAGCCAAAGTTCTTCCACCAAAGCCAAACATGGCTGAGAATCCAAAACGAAGGAGCTTACCCATGGTGCTGAAGGTACAGACATCAACTGGTTGTATGTGCCCTTGAATATTACCAGCCAGTCAATCAATGAGTGCAGTAGAGCCATTTGTCAAAACAGCAAATATAGGAGAGCTTATTTATTTAGTTGTATAAGAAGGTCTTGAGCTACGGTGTTCTATGAGGAATATCCTCACTCTTATGTCATCTCTTAGTTACCTACAACGACTATAATTGCCATTTATAACTTTCTTCAGGTATTATTAAGTGCAGAAATGTAAAGAAGTAAATTTTACAGCTTATTGCTATTTCATGTAAAACATGGTTAAGGGAGTGAAGTTGAAATAGATTTGCAAAGTACATTTAGGTTAACAATCGGTTTGCTTTCGCTTTATCTGAGTTTACACGTTTTCCATCAATTGGGATGATAAATGGTCTAGTGGACTTGTACAATCTAAAAATTTTTTCATTGTGCTTTTATTCTTTTAGTCCTACAGTAAGGGTATGGTCAAACAATAATATCTGATGTATTTAAATGATATGCATGGATTTTCTTGATATGCTCATAAAATTGTGATGCTGAACATCGTTACAATATTTTTTTTTAATCTCAAGACTATAGTAAAACTTCATTTACTGCTCTGTATAGAAGCTTTTATTCTGAAAAGATAGGTCATCCAAACAGTGAAGCTTTGCCTAATCAACTTCTGTTTTTAGCAAAATATTTCTCTGCTTTGAGAGACAAAGAGCCTGTTTTTCCTTAGACAAGTCTCACAGAAATAAACTGTCTTTTCTCATATAAATAAAAACTTCCCAATAAAACATTAACTTATTTGGAAGAAGTCTTACCCATTATAATGTGCAAAGTTGCAGTTACCACATGAGGGACTCCATGAAGAGAATGTGCCAATACATTAGTAGAGCCTGCGAATCAATGTTAAAACACGCACAGTCAGTGTATTTGCCAATGCCTTATTTTACATAGACGCCACTAGATAATATTCTGATGAAAAACTAATGGAAATTTCTCAAGCGATGGGTAGGGCAAGGGCTTGCTGTTTTCATTATAAACCCTGTAGTACTGGACATTTAAAACCTTATATATGTATCTAGCCTATATATTTAGGAAAAATTAGAAACACATGGAGGGTCCAGGGGAAGACTTTATTTAAATTTGAGAAACCCTGAAGAACCCAGAGCACAGAAAGCCACACAATAACTGTAAAGAAACCATAAGAAAGTTGTAACTGTTATTACAAATTAATCTGCAAGTTATTCAGAATCAAAAAAGCCCTTGTCCTAAGGAAATTTACTATTTGAATAGCAAGATGGACCAAATGCTTTCCAACCCCCAGCACTGCCACTGATTGAATCCAATGATCTTTAGCAAACCAAAAAGACTCCAAGTGAGCTTTCGCATCGAGCTCCATTCCTGCCCTTCCATCTAGTCTAAAGCAACTTCCTGGGATCTAGGATTAATTACTTCCACCAACAACATCCATACTATTAGTGTCTCTTCTTCTAAGACTTCTGTCTAGTCCTCTGTACCCTGTCTTATATAAATTGTTCAAAATTTCTGATAATTGAATGTCAACCTTCCCTAGTTTCCAGAGATGATATAGGGTCCCCATTCTTAGATTTCCTGGGCAACTGGGCAGCGGGAGGTAACAAAGAGCAAAGTATCTGTCCTCCAGTATAAATCTAACCCTGAAGCTTTATAATTATACCTTTAAACCAGTTTTTATTTAAAGGCTGTTTGTGGTACTCTTGCATTTGCATCATCTGGGGTGGTTATTAAAAACACAGGATTCCAGGGCCCTACCCCATACTTGGAATCCCTGGGTGATACAAAAGGTTAATGCGCTTGGCTAACCAAAAGGATGAAGGTTTGAGTCCATCCAGAGGTACTTTGGAAGAAAGGCCGGACCATCTACTTCCAAAAACTCAGTCATTGAAAGCCCTATGGAGCACAGTTCTACTCTGACAACACACACTCATGGGGTCACCAGAGTAGGAGTTGACTCATCGGCAACTAGTTAGTACCCCATACCTAATGAGTCAGAAGAGCTATGAAGTAGGAATCCACATGGTTCTCCAAGTGATTAAGCTCATAAAATTTTTAAACCTCTTACCTAAATAAATAATTCATATACATCAAAATTTAGGAAAACAAAGGTGGAAAAATAGGCCTTTTCTGTTACTTCAATATGGAAAAATATGTATGCGTGTTTCCCTCCATAATCATTTCCAAAGACTTACCCAACTAAACTAGGGTTAGGTGGTAGAGGAATGGAAATACATTATTATAGGTGAGCAAAATGGTGCGATATAGCTACTTTCTTTTCATTCTCTAAAGAATGAAATTTAAGCATGGGTCAAAAATTGCTAACGATCATCTAACATGTATTAATCATTGAGATACAACAAAGAACTATATATAAATAGGATCTATGTCCTTGATAAACTTTTTTGTTTATTATGACAATCTTCAAATATGCACAAAAGTAAGGAGAATATAGAATCAACTCCCACATACCCATAACCCAGCTTCAACAATTATCAATTTTTTGTCATTCTTATTTTCTCCCCACCAACATTTTGCTGAAGTATTTTCAAATACTTCATATCATATCACTTTACTTCTGAATATTTCAGTATATATCTCTAACAGGGAAGGACTTGAAAAAATATATCAAAATAGCATTATCATACCCTCAAAAATTAACAATTAATAATACCAAAATAAGCATCTAATACCAAGCCCATGTTCAGTTTTCCTCGATTGTCTCAAAAAGTCATTTCCAGTTGGTTTGTTTGGGTTAGGATCCAAACAAAGTCACATATTACATTTAGTTAACATCTATCTTAAATCTTTTTTAATCTATTACAGTTCTCTTTTTTTTTAATGTTACTTTTTTAATGTTTACTTTTTTTATACATTTAAGAAAATGGATCTTCCTGTGAAATTTCTCACATGTTGGATTTGGCTAATTCTGGGTTTAACACAGTTCTTTCTCCTCCTTATTTTCTGTAAACCAGCAGTTGGATCTAGACTCTTAAATAGGCTCAGGTTTAATTTGGGGGCAAGAATATTTCATCAATTTTGTTCCATACTTCCAGTTGACTTCCTATTGCATTACATCAGGAGACACAGCACCTGGTTTCCCTACCTTTAGGGCTATTAAAGATTAATCGCTCTTTTCAGATGGTGTCATTCTTATTTTAGTTTCTGATAATTGCTGTTTTAAAGAATATACCTCAGTTGTAGAAAGTCACACATCAAATATGCAAACTTTTTTTCATGGAATTTAATTAGGAACCTATAATTCAATCATCTATATCAGAATTCTGAGCAGTTTTCAAATTCATTTTTTACTATATTTGCATGTGTGTGTGCAGGGACGAATCACTCAATAAGCAAGGTAGGCATGGGCTTACTTGTGCATACTTACTGATCTGTAGTGAACAGTTTCACATGGGTTTCACATAGTAAGAACACACAAGTAAACCCGTGCTTACCTTGCTTATTGGGTAATCCGTCCCTGTTAGGATTGTAAATTTGAAAACAGGCTTTGATGCTGTAAGATGGTGCTGTGGGGGTGGGAGAGAAAAAGATGCCAGCCATACCTACAAGAAGAATCTTTGATGTGCTGAAAAAATGTAAAATTGTTCACTGCAGATGATCTATCTGGCAAGCACTTGCTTACCTTGCCTATTGGATAATCTGTCCCTGTGTATATGTATATTATGTGGTGGATATGTATGTATGTATCTATGCATGTGTATGTGTATAGAATATGGTCATATGTATATGGATATATGCATGTATATTATACATATATATGTATGTGTATACGTATATGTAGAGGAGCCCTGGTGGTGCAGTGGTTAAGAGCTCAGCTGCTAACCTAAAGGTTGGCAGTTTGAACCCACCAGCAGCTCCACAGGACAAGGATGTAGCAGTCTGCTTCCGTAAAGATTTATAGCCTTGGAAACCCTATTGGGGCAGTTCTACTCTGTCCTATAGGGTTGCTATGAGTCAGAATTGACTCAACAGCAATGGTTTGGTTTATATGTATATGTATTTTTTCCATTGGTGTCTTAGTTATCTACTGCTGCTATACTAGAAATACCACAAGTAGATGGCTTTAATAAACCGAAGTTTATTCTCTCATAGTTTAAGAGGCTAGAAGTCCAAATTCAGGGCACCAGCTTCAAGAGAAGGCTTTCTCTCTCTGTTGGCCCAGAGAAAGTCCTTATCATAAATTTTCCCTTGGTCTAGGAGCTTCTCAGCACAGGGATCCTGGGTCCAAAGGATGCACTCCACTCCTGGCTCTTCTTGGTTGGTGGTAATGAGGTCCTTTCTCTCTGCTCAATTCTTTCATATCTCAAAAGAGATGGACTCAAGACACAACCTAATCCTGTAGATTTTGTCCTACCTCTTAACATAACTGCCTCTAATCCTCCCTCATTAACATCATAGAGGTTAGGATTTATCAGATCACAAAATGGAGGATAACCACACAATACTGGGAATCATGGCCTAGCCAGGTTGACACCCAATTTGGAGGACGCAGCTCAATCCGTAACAATTGGTAAAAACTTTCTCTGTACATTTCCTTAATAAAGAAGCCTTTGTTTCATGGAAATTTAGAAACTTTAGATATCATGGTTTGAAAAATATTAAAAAATTTAAAAAGATAAGTATCTAATAAACTTTAGAAGAATAAACCAGAAAAAGAGATACAAATTTCAAATACTATATCATGAGAATAAAACTTTTTTAACGTCACTTCTTTATTGTCTTCTTGATTCCCTCACATATAACTAATTGATTCCTCTTTGGTGTATTCATAGCATATATCACATTGTGCTGCTATTTTGGATTTGATTTGTAGGCTGATCCCCCTTCACTTTGAATTTCTTCAGAGAAGAGAATGTCATTTTTATTCACAGCTTAGATGCACATTGAAGGTTTGCTGAACTATTTGTTGAATCTTCAAATAACTTAAAAATTAGGAAATAGTTTATACTATCTGCTTTCTCACAGCTTTCCATCATGAAATGTCTATATTTTCTACGTAAAAAAATGCTAATTAATAGTAGACAAGAATTATCTTAGGTGAAGGGAAGGACAACACACAATACAGGGGAAGTCAGCACAACTAGACTAAACCAGAAGTTAAGAAGTTTCTTGGACACAACCAAATACTTCGAGGGACAGAGTAGCTGGGGTGAGGGTCTGGGGACCATGGTTTTCGGAGACATCTAGGTCAACTGGCATAGCAAAGTTTATTAAGAAAATGTTCTGCATCCCACTTTGGTGAGTGGCATCTGAGGTCTTAAAAACTAACGAGCAGCCATCTAAGATGCATCAATTGGTCCCAAGCTACCTGGAGCAGAGGAGAATGAAGAACACCAAAGACACATGGAAAATATGAGCCCAAGAGACAAAAAGGGCCTCATAAACCACAGACTCCATCATCCTGAGACCAGAAGAACTAGATGGTACCCAGCTACCACCAGTGACCACCCTGACAGGGAACACAACAGAGAATCCCTGACGGAACAGGAGAAAAGTGGGGTACAGAACTCAAATTTATGTAAAAAGACCAGACTTAATGGTCTAAGACTGGAGGAACCCCAGAAGACACGGCCCAGGGACTCTCTGCTAACCCAGAACTAAAACCATTCCTAAAGCCAACTCTTCAGACAAAGATCAGACTGGACTATAAGGCATAAAATGATACTCATGAAGAGTGTGCTTCTTAGTTCAAGTAGATATACAAGACTAAATGGGCAGTTCCTGTCTGGAGACGAGATGAGAAGGCAGAAAGGGATAGGAGCTGGTTGAACAGGCACGGGAAATTCGAGGTAGAAAGGGGGAGTGTGCTGTCACATTATAGGGATAGCAGCTAGGGTCA